TGGCCTCCTGTAGTCTGCCATCCTTAAAAGCAAAAACAGAATATTATGTTTTGTTTCGTTTTTCTGTCGCATGTTAAAGCTACAGCTCAAATCGCTGTGCATTTATCTGGAATTGTTTATCAGGGATGAAATATGAATGGTGAAGTATCTATGGCTAGAAAGTCAAATGTCTACTTAGACAGCAGTTTCCTGAGAGGTTTATGTCTGCGTAATACAACTTTTTTTAAATTAAACGCGTTAGAGAGATTTATAATAAGTAAATCATTCATATAGTTTAATTATGGAATTATTTGATTAACGTTAGCTTTAGCACGCAGCATGACTCAGCCGCTCATTCACACTCACTCTGGCCATTTTCTCACACTCAGGCAGACGCTGATCTACAGTAGGACTGTAGTCAACCTCCATCTTCACTATCCGTCCATCTGACCGTTCAGCTCTGTCCTCAGACATTATTACTGCTTATAATAGGAAGAGTGATAACTACAATCCGTACAGCACAGCTAGCTGAAAATCTTCTTCTTTCTCTTTGTATAGAGTTTGTTTGGCGGTTGGCAAACCAGCTATTCATTAATTACCGCCACCAACTGGACAGGAGTGTGGAGTGTCGAAAGAAATTTGATTTATTTCTTTTTTTTACTTAGTCTGTATGTGTCGTATTTAAACATTCTAAATTGAAAAAAAAAAAACGTTTGGAAGCTGAAGTAGTGTTTCTGAAGTACCCATAATCTACCAGACTGAATTGTAAATAAAGAAGTGACAGAAAAATACAATAAAATAAAATAAAATAAAAACGATCTCGTATAACATGACTGTCACTGGACACTTGCAGAATAAAGAACTATGTTCTGCGATGGCATTGACAACTAAAATGTTTAGCTTTCATATAAGGCTGCATCCACACCACTAGTTATATAAGTCCAAGATGAACATAATAGCAAATGCCTGTTTCCTGAAAGCATCGTAATCCTACGAAGATCATAGAAACCACTGGCACCGCACCAATGGTCTCTACAATCTACTGTGGTTTACGATTGTTTATGAGAAATGCAGACCAACATGACAGTTACTGAGTGCATCTTTAATACAATTTGCCAATTAATTCTGTCCATTGTGTTATTATGCCGTATTTTATGAGGTACAGTGTCAGTATTTTATCATCCCTCATTATATGTGTAGAGACACCAATTATTTAATAGGCTGGAGTTATCTTCACAAAGAGCTACATTCACAAATACACTTTTCATACACTTTTCAAAGAGTTTATAATAGTGCACTTTTGGCAAGTCATATAGATAAACAAAGACAAATCTCCTGAGCAAACAAAAACTCTAGCACAGGCAAACAACCAATTAATTTATATTCAGTGGGTTTTTTTTTGTTGTTGCATATGTACATACATACATACATACACATAGGCTACACACAACAAAAATTGAGTAACAGCCAATACTATAACCTTTGCCAAATGTTTGAATATATTGAATAAAATATATCAGTTTAACATTATTTATTGAATGACTTTAATTGTTGGATACAGTCAAAAAGGTCAAGATGAGGTGGGACAAACCAAAATTATTTGAAGGGTTTAAAATGTGCTAATTTTAAGTAAGATAATAATTAAACTAACATTTCTCCTAGTAATAATGTGAGATTTGGTCCTCTAATACTTAAAAAATAAATAAATAACTAAGTGTACCATATTTGTTAAATGTGCCAGTGTCACCTTCTAGCGGTTGGTTATTTGAATCACATGTGTATGTTCTGTATGTTTCAAGGAGGCAACAGTTGTAAAGACAGATGAAATGGTAAAAAAGGCCTTGTTCAAGGGGGAAGATGTTAGACTTGTTTTGATAATGAACGAATTTGTGAATGAATCTTTCTAACAATTTCTACAAGACATTTTCTAGCACCCAGCCAACATCATTGCTCCCCCACCTACAAGCCAAAAATAATGTTGTAGGTGAAGATGGTGGTCTTGCGTGCCATTGACAAATGACCTTCTGAACACTGACTGTCAGGTCCCTTCTTTTATAGGTCGTGACAACAGCTGAGATGTTCTTATACTGTATATAAAACCCTATTTAGAATAGACTGGTGGCATTTTTTCATATTTACAGCCTAAGGGCACCTACTTTACAGTATCTATAATAGCCCCCGTTCTAGTATCTGCTGGTGGAGGTTTTTTAGGACCTCGGGAAGTTTAAATAATTTGTTTTCAGTGTGGAATGTGTTAGAAATGCAGATGGTATACAGAATGTAGAAGAAAGGGAGGAGCAATTGTATTAAATACCCAACACCGGTGAAGACTGGTTCCTCTCAAGTTTTTTTTTTTTTTCATCACTACTATCGTCCTGGAGGAGTTTTGGTTCCTTCCTTGCCAAATGTCAAATTGAAACTCTAATTGAAACTACTGTAGCACTTATTTCACTGAGACTGTATTATCCTCTCTAGTAAAGATCATGATCTCACTGCCTTAAAATGCAGAACAATATAGATTTTAAAGGTGTCTTAGTCTTAATTTTTTTTTATTAGCGCTTAATACAATACAGACTGTGTCAAAGCAGCTTCACAGTGTCAAACAAGAAAATAGTTTGTCAATAATGCAAGAGGACAATAACAAACAGTCAATTTTTCAGTTAAAGTCACTTCATTGATGATACAGTGATGTCGTCATCATCCAGTTCAGCTCTCTTCCAACAGCGTCTGTGCGATCAAGCTGACAATATCGCCAGAAATTAAGCATCCCCAACTAAGCAAACCAAAGGCGACAGTGGCAAGGAACCAAAACTCCATCAGTGACAGAAATGGAGAAAAAAACCTTGGGAGAAACCAGGCTCAGTCGGGGAGCCAGTTCTCTTCTGGCCAGATGAAACCAGTATGGCATGGTTTAATTCCAGGCTGCAACACAGATCAGATTGTGCAGAGGACTTGTCTGGTTCCCGTGGTCTTGTCCCGATGGCTGTCTAGTTGACGAGGTCTTCGCAGGGGATCTGTCTCTGGGGCGCATCTAGTTGACATGGTCTCCACTGACATTCAGGGCTGTAGAGGTCATCTCTGTGCTGATCAACCATCTGGACTGGATACGGACTGGATCTGGGTGGCTACGGTGACTTCAGAATCAGAATGAAACAGACTAATATTAGCGTATACCATTCTTCTTATGATGTAACGAGTACATCGGGTGTTATGAGAAGTGTTCAGAAGCAAAAAATCTGAGCATTTCACTCCAGCCCTCAGGTCTTTACACTGGCTTCCAGTTAAAGTACTCTTACTTGTTTATAAATCACTCAGTAGCCTATGAACTAAATAAACTGCAGATATGCTCACTGAATATAGACCTAACAGACCACTCATCATTAGGATGATCAAGTCAGAATACCTTAACACCTTCATAGCTGCATTTACTAACTGAGAGCTGTGTAGCCTATGCTGTGCTGCATCCTACTTTATCAATTGATTTCTTTACTATTTTCTTTCCTTCTTATTTATTTTAATACTTTTTTTTTTCAAATAAATTTGTATTTATTACTTGTGGTTTTTATTTTGTATGTAGCCTAATTATATGTAAAGCACTGTGAATATGAAATGTGCTAGCCTATAAAATTAAACTTTTCTATAACAACAACAACAACAAACAATTTATTGTTGTTGTTGCTGCTGCTGCTGTTATAATTATATTAATCGATTTATAAATTAGTCTAAGTGTTGAATCCATTCTTTAAAATGAAAAGTGATACAATATAAATAATGTAAGCAATTGATATACTTTAATGTAATGGTAGTACTCAAATAAAATACATTTTAAACACGGCTCCTTTAGGCTTTTTGCCACTGGGTGGTGTACATTAAGTTATTTCTGCGCCAGCTCCAGCTCTTCAACTCACGTACGGTACATAAGTCAGCGGCCACCGCATTGAGAAGGGTCTGGCTGCAGCCTTGCACTTGCACTCTCAGACTTGCACTCTCAGACACTTGCGCTTCCGCTAGCGACGTCACTTGCAGGCTTTATTTTTTATTTTGTTCTACTTTTTATTACTTTTTGTTTGAATCTCTCAACATATACATATTCATTATATTAATAATGTTCATATTCTGCTGTTCTGTGGCGACGGATTTGCGGGTCTTGTCTTTTTCTTGCAGGACCCTGTATGTTATAGTACTAAATTAGTTTTAATCGTTTAATCACCACAGCGTCTTGTCTCCATTGGCAACACGCACGATTTATGTCGATTGCAAGTGACATGGCAGGTAGCGGAGAGTGCAAGTGGTTATTGTAAGTGACATTGTAATTTAGTTTCTTTTTTCTTGTCTTCACCACCTGGCTACTGTTGTAAAATGTTGAGAGATTCAAACAAAAAGTAATAAAAAACAATAGAACAAAATAAAAAATAAAGCCTGCAAGTGACGTCGCTGGCGGAAGCGCAAGTGTCTGAGAGTGCAAGTCTGAGAGAAAAAAAAAGAAAAAAAAAAAGAAAAGAATGCAAGTCTGAGAGTGCAAGTGCGAGGCTGCAGCCAGACCCTTCTCCATCCATAAGATGAGTGGTTTGAACTGTTTGGTAAACAATAAATAAGTTATAACCTTTGAAAAAATCCCTTCTAGGAAAAAAATGATGGTTTTGTTGGTTTTGGTATAAAACATTGTTTTTTAAACGATATTTTATAATTTTATCGTTTAATAATATATAAATAATTTGCATTCAATTTGTATTAAAATGTTTTGTTCATTTCACTCTTCGTTTATCCAGCACGGTTAAAAAAAAAATATCTGTATTAAAAAAAATCTGTATTAAAATGAGTTTTTGATGGGACATAGTTTAAGAATGAACGTCTGGATAAAACGATTAGATTATATTATTTTGTGTAAATAATAATCATCATAATAAAAAAACATGAATAAAAACACCCGTCAATCCAGACTATACAAATAAATAAAACCGTTTTGTATTCATTTTGGACATGACTTTTATTTTGGCAAGGAAATTCTTTCTTGGTTGTAGGCGTCTAGACAGGCGTTTGTCCACCAAATTCGTCAGTACACGCAACGCTTAAAATAATATTTAACTGTTAGGCCTGTAATATCCTGCGTTTGACTATGTATCGTTTTTGAAATTGAATGCCGCAAATCGGAGTAGCATTGATGTCTCATTTTAAAAGACGGACATTCAAGCCTGTAACTGAAGTTTGAGTTTGACTCCGTTCGTGTGTGCTGATTTTTTTTCTTCTTCTTTGGAGTAGCCTACGGTCAGATCCGTACTGCTTACTTTGATCGAATGGGATCGTTTAAAATTAATACAGCAGGATCTAACTGTACCGGACAGAGACATGTGGAAGAGGGTCTCTCATGAAATTTTGGGTCTTCATGTGTATTGCAGGATCAGGCTATAGGTGTGGATTTTGGAATCTCGACCATGGGCTCTCTGAAAGCTTTGCAGGAGTGGTGCAGGAACCAGTGTGAAAGTTACAGTAATGTGGACATTACAAACATGTCTTCATCCTTCAGAGATGGACTGGCCTTCTGTGCCATCATCCACAAACACAGACCTGATCTCATGTGAGCACTTCTCTGACACTGCTTCTTTCATTTGTTTGCATTTTCCACTTCTCTGAAGATTACATACCTCATAAAATGTCATCATAGCGATCTTAAGTCAGGACAGCTTTAACTAATGGAAACACTGTTTCCTTACATGATTAATGGAAATGTAGGTTGTGTTGTGCTATTGTTAGGTGTGACTTGAAATAAACGGGAAGTGACACGCAGTTTGATTCACATCGGGAATAGTTTAGCCCAAATGGAAATGCAGTCATCATTTACAAACATTCATGCCAAGTTACCCAATTTCTTTATACATATATAAATCGTACGATGAAAGAATTTTAGTTTTTGTTGATGAAAAGTTATTATGAACATAATGAAGAATTAAAACATTTATACCGTGACCACCTCTGCTGTATTTCAATATGTATGTGAATTTAAATAGGAAATAAATATTTATTAATTAAAAAAATAAACTTTATAATAAATGTTACTTCAACTCTAAGACATAACAGCAGATAAAGGCTTAATAATAATAATATTTGTAGTGTACCAATTTAATTTTATCTGTATTCTAGTGTAATTCTAAACGCTGACAAAACTAGTTTTTGTATGCAACATTAGCTAGCTAGCTTTTAGAAAAGAATACCCATTCCCCTTTAAATTAGAAATACCACCTGTCTCAGACTAAAGCTAAATTTGAAATTGGCCGCTCATATTCCCAATATAGATTTTTCGGACACTATATGATTTCAAACTGGGTGAATGAAGGCTGGTTTAACAATAGTGTCTTAAAGGGGTCCTATTATGCTCTTTTACAAAGTCTTGATTTTGTTTTGGGGGTGTACTAGAACAGGCTCTCATACTAAGTTGTTCGAAAAACACATTATTTTTCACATATTTTACATTATTACAACACCTCTCTCCCCAGTCTGGCATGAACGGCTCTAATAGTTCCTGTATCAAATGAAGGCCCGCCTTCTGAAATACGAAATGTGCTGTGATTGGTTAGCTGGGCCAGTGTGTGTTGTGATTGGCACCACTCGGTGCCTGGTCGGGAAATGACATGCCCCTTACCATAGCCGCCTGCGAGCTTCAGTGTAAATATTGCGTCAAAATCAAATTAATTTGAGATTTAAACCCGGATGATTGTAACCACTCTAAGTTCATCTGCCTTGGGAAAGCTGGCGTGTCTTCGACATAGTGATAACACTCGTTGCCTTCTCTGGTGCAGCTCAACCAGGTCACGTCCCATTCGTCGGTATTTGTGATATCACAAATCCTGGAAAATATGCGTTGTAGTCCAAACGAGTCATTCGTTGTAGTTTTTGAAAAGTGATTTCTGTTAAATAAAATATTTCCTTTTGAAGTGGACTTTGAGCTTTGTAACTTTGCAGATCTTTTTTTTTTATGCTCAAACAGCAACATTACAGACTAACTAAAGTTGAAAAAGTGAAAAAGCATAATAGGACCCCTTTAAGAACCATCGCAGCACACATCAGTGTGGTCCAGACATTTAGGCCTAGCTACCTGGGTTAACCAGGCTTCCTTTGATAATGTGGTGCACAACGTTTCCAACTTTGTGTTTTGCTGTCACAAAACACAAAGCCACAGATTTAATTACTTGTTCTAGATTCCTCAGGCCATCAGTCATTATCTGTTGGGTAGATTACATGTTGTATGTGTAATGCTGTGATGGGCATGTTGGGTCATGCTGGAGACACTCAGTCAGTCCTGAGTGTCACTCTGAGTAGGGATGGGCGGATCGATCCTTAAGTATTGATACTTTTGATACTGATGTTGTATCGAAAGGATCGATCCTCACATAAAAATATCAATTCTAAAGTGCATTTTTTAACCATTAATTTTATGTATTTATCAAGAAATTCGGTGCATAAAAAAGCTTCTAAGTATATTAGCGAATAATTTTGTTGGATAGAACCATTTCTCCTGCTCATCGGAACACACGCAAATGCTGAAAGACAGAACCAATCAATCACAGACAGCGTTCGTTGCTTGACGCATGGCTCACAGTGCTTGTTCAAAATAGGGCTGCGTTTCCCAAAAGCATCAGAAGCTTAAGTAGATCTATAGAAACCATTGCCACATTATTACATTACATTACATAACATTGTTACTATATATAAAATTAATTCTGAAAAATGCATCACGGTTTCCACACAAATATAAAGCAGCAATAATAATAAATGTTTCTTGAGCAGCAAATGATATTAGAATGATTTCTGAAGGATCATGTGACACTGAAGACTGGAGTAATGATGCTGAAAATTCAGCTTTGATCACAGATGCATTTTAAATTACATTTTAAAATATATTAAAATAGAAAA